GATAAACATGTTCTCAAATCTCACCTAGTCGGTGGGCGTTCCTTTGAACGGTGTTATTATTAATTTGGGCAGTTTTGCTGTGGTTGAACGGGCTTCTTTCTCCAGTTCCAGCCGTTTATGGGTCGCCTGTAATTCTGCATCAATTTTCTCCTGCCACAGAAGTCGTTCGTGCTCTTCTTGTCCCAAACGCAACTCAGTTAAACGGCGCTCCTCTTCTCGCTGTTGTTCTTGTTTGGCTTCAAATCGTTTTCTTTCCATTTCCTCGTCTATTTCCTCTTGTCTGTTGTTTAAGAACTTCGCAAGCTTTTCTTTGTCCACAAGAAATGTGGAATACCTGGCCTTCACGTCCTTCTTCCATTGTCTCACCAATCGGGAAGATACACCATGATCTATTTTTAATTCCTCCGCTTGCGAAATAAGAGCCGATAGCTTGCCCACGATTTTCTCCGCTCGTCTGTTGGCAATATCCACTTCCGTGTAATCTCCTAGCTTAAATAGCTCGCCCGTTTCGTCCAGAAAGTACTTGAGTTTGTGTATTAGGGAACATTTCTGGGTCCACTGTTAGTCTTGTTATGACGTAGGTAACTGCTTGCCTAATTGCATATTGTCTCATACAAAATTAAAACTTTTGCGAATGATGTAGTATTGTATTCATGGTGGTATCGAGTCACTAATAATGCAAATCCTGACAAATGACAAGAAGATCTGCACAATTAAGAACAGTGGGAACATCGATGGCAAATGGAGTTTAATCACTTAAAATAGTCTACGAAACAAAATCCAGGCACCAAAACAGAATTATACATTTTGTGAAACTGAACTGGAATAAGTCGAATCTATCTAGTGTTTAGGAGTTATCGTACATTAATAGTATAGTATTACTAAGTTAAAATGGTTCGTTCAAGCATATCGCACCACTCTCAAGTAACGATAATTAACTTTCTTCTATTAAGCAGCTTTACCTTTATGACTACGTTTTCATTCTTGTAACGTTAGTATACTTCATTAATTAAAAAAAATGTTGACTGAAACACTGTTTCAACATTTTAGCGAACACAGGCCTTCTAGAAATCACTAGTAGGCGATGGATTTGGGTTTTGACGACGAAAGATGTCAGGACATAATTATATGGTTCTCCCTTAATGTACTAATAAAATTCAAACGTGAAACTTATGAAAGAGTGCATACTTGAAAAAATATTGTAGATAAATGTTTGAAAAAAGTTAATAAATGTGAAAAGCGGGTAAAACTTCAAGGCAAAAGGCCTAATTAAGCAAGCTTTAAGCTGAATAAATAAGACAAAATAAGGAAAATACGAATTAATTAATAGAAGCTAAAAACAAAAAAACAAACAAAAAAGTTCTTTAAAATCTAGCTTAATGTCTGATTTCTCACATGATAACTGCTACGCAACGCTCCCTAAGTATTTTCACTCCAAAACTATACAAAGAAAGTCTCTTAATAAGATACATATTTGGACAATGCAATCAATTTTGCCAGTTGTTAGCGAACATGGACTTTCCAGAAATCACCAGAGGCTGTTGGACTTGAAAGGCCATCATCGCAACGAAAATCAGGTGGGTTTGTCAACCAATAATTCCCTGGAATGTAAGCAGGGAATTTATACAGTCTCTCCTGATCTCTCCTGTCCCCCCATTTGCCTTCCATAGACCATCCCCACTGTTGACAAGTTCCCGCCATCCGTGAGTTGTCATTTTCCATTCTGACATATGAGCCACACGAGGCGGGCTGGGCATCCGTTTGACCGCTAAAGTATTGGACTACAGCTTCACCAGTGCTGTTACCGGCAGTGGTCACGTGGAACGTACGTCCATTGTTTTTACCGCAGTGGAATCTCAGTTGGGTGAAGGACAAGTTTGTTCTCAGCTCATTCATGGCGGTTTTTGTGAGAACCATCTGATCACTGGTTATTCCACGGTATGAGGTCTTGACTGGCAGCTGAGAGGGGGGAGTTGGGCCAATCACAATGTTGGAAATGAGGAGCCAACCTCCTGAAATGAAGAGTTGCATGGTCTTATACATTTCTGAATAAGGAAAAACATTGTTTTTAAAGGTAAAGGTACACTTTAGAGAAAAACTGACTAGGCAGCAAACAACGTCAATCTGAATAATTCTTTTTAGAATATACTAAATAAAACAGTGTATAGTGATTTTCGCGCGCTCTGATTGGCTGCTCAATCTCGGAATATCCTGTACTAAACACTGATTCACCTCCAGTTCCTCCAACGAAGCGTTACGAGCAAAATGGTTTCCCGATTTGCTGCGGTAATAAACAAAGAAATTTCACAAATAATTAAACAAGCTGTTCCCGAAATACACGAAGAAGGTGAAAAAAGTCGGTTTGGAAGTTTTGACAGGTAAAGCTTTGTCTGTTTGACTTTAATTTATCGAAGAGGATCGAGCATTTGACGATTGTCTGGGTGGAGTGACGTATTTGAACTGTATATGTGATTGAGATGGAGGAGTGTAAAGGTAAAAAAACTGACTTTTTAGACGAATAGCTGGTTCAGTAAGGACTTCAAAAGTAACACACTACATTAGCGCTGCATTTTTGAAGGTATGATGTATCTGATGTATCAGAACGAGATCGAGTGCTATATTTTTGCAGTTCAATTGCCGATCAACACCATGTGAAGTCCGGTAAATCACGGCACTTTAAGGCTTTTTTTTTTCGAATTAACGATTCTTTGGGAGGAGCATTTGACTATTACATAGAGCTTATGTAATGGAGAAATTGAACACAGGACAGGTTGTTTTAAAAAGTTTAAATGCGCCGGGGTTTCGAGGGGTTGCCCAGGGTATGTTGAAGGGATCGAGACCCTCAATCGAGTTGATCGGCACATTACCTCGACTTTAGAAATAGGAAGAGTGTATTTTTATGTTATTATCAAACCACCACCTATTTCTTTCACTGTTTACAGAACGCAAGAAAATATACATGGCCATAATAATAATAATAATAATAATGAAAATGAAGAAAAGATCGTCGCAGTGAACGCAATTTATGCAATTGCGTAAAGAAGCCTGAAAGCATGAGGCTCTACCAACTAAGCTATGAAGCCACTGACGTCAGTGGCTTCATAGCTTAGTTGGTAGAGCATCGCACCGGTAATCGCGAGGTCACGGGTTCAAACCCCGTTGAAGTCCTGAATTTTTTTCACGCTTCTTTACGCAATTGCATAAATTGCGTTCACTGCGACGATCTTTTCTTCCTTTTCATTCCATTTCCGCAGTTCATATATGATTTATTTCAGATATCATTAACAATAATAATAATTATAACTTTATTTATTTCGCGCTCATATCCTAAGCTCATGGCGCTTTACAATGTAAAAAAGGGGAAAACGAAATAATTTACATATCACAAGCATATCAAAAATCTATTTATAATCATTATATTACAGGTCTTAAAATCATAAAGTTTACAAAAACAATGACCCACTCTCTAAAAATTGCCTAAAAAGATATGTTTTCAATTCTTTCTTAAAACCAGTTAAAGATGGTGACTTACGCAAATCTAATGGTAGTGAATTCCACAGTTTATGGGCACACACTGAAAAAGCCTTGTCCCCGTAAGTTTTCGTGATTGATCGACGTTGGTCTAACAGCTGCTTAGATGCGGACCGCAAGTCCCTGGAATGCGATTGATAACTCATTCTGTTCGCCAGATAGGTAGGGAAAAGGTTGTTAAGTGATTTGAAAACTCGCAAAAGAATTTTAAAAACGATACGACAACTAACCGGAAGCCGGTGAAGGTCAAATAAGACAGGCGTAATGTGATCAAATTTACGAGTCTGAGTAACAATTCTGGCGGCAGTGTTCTGAAGGTATTGAAGCTTCTTCAACTGCATTTTACTACAGCCGTAGAGTAAGGAATTGCAATAGTCTAGTTTAGATGTTTTGAAAGCATGCACAGCAATTTCACTCGACTCCCGTGTGAGATATTTTCTAATCTTTGAAAAGTTCCTAAGCTGGTTAAAAGATGATCTGCAAATGTCTGAGCCGTGCACGTCGAATAACATGTGGTCATCAAGTACTAATCCCAGACTCCTAGCATTGACAGTGGTTGTCAGCCTTTCATTACCGATACTAAAGTAGTTGAAAAGTGGACGAGTATGGTACTTCGAGTAAATAGGCATAATTTCTGTTTTGTCGTGATTGAGTTTCAGCTCGTTTACGTCCATCCAACGACATATATCAGTGACTCAGTTCTCTACACGCAGCCTTGCAAAATCGACATCACATCCTTTGAACGATATGTAGAGGTGAGTATCATCAGCATAGAAATGATAAACGATACCATGACTACGTATTATCTCAGCAAGTGGTGCAGTGTACAATAGATACAAAATGGGACCTAGAACAGAGCCCTGCGGAACGCCCAGAGTCAGTGGACGATTTTGTATCATTAATTTCGACAAACTGAGATCGGCCAGTCAGATAAGAATGAAACCACTGCAGAACAGTTCCCGTGATACCAAACAAGTTCTCCAGAAGCGAAAGTAGCAAAGAATGATTAGCTGTGTCGGTTTCTTCAGTAGCAGACGCAACGAAGCAATCTTAAGATCCTCTGGCATCGATCCAGTCGACAGCGACAGATTGATTACCGTTTTGAATACCGGGACAAGAGCCGAATAGCAACTTTGCATTATGGTTGCTGGTAGGGGGTCAAGTTTACAAGACTTGATAATGGCACCTCAGATCAGTTTCAAGACGTCATCATCAGTGACCAAATCAAACTCACTTAACCGTGACAGGCAGGCCGACATGGCCAGACCAGAGGAGTGAACAAGTCCACTTTTCCTAAGTACAAGCTCTTCACGAATCCTTTCTATCTTGGCAGTGAAAAAATCTGCAAAATCATTAGCAAGTTGTTGATCATTATCTGCGGAAGGATAATGCTTCTCAGTTTGACTTTGCAGTAGCTTATCTATAGATCAAAAGAGAAGCCTGGTGTCATGAGCGTTGTCCCGGATAACCGACGAATAATAAAATTCCTTGGCTTTGTATAGCATTGTATTCACAACACTACATTGCTCTATGTAGCTCAATCTGTCCGACTCAAGGCGGCTAGAGCGCCATCTGCGCTCTAACCTGCGCCTCTTCCTCTTCCCATTGCCAATGTCCTCGTTATACCAGGGGACGTTTGGACGAAGGACAATGGTCCGAGATTTCACTGGAGCCAATATGTCCATGGTATCACGCAAGACGTTATCATACCTGTCAACTATCAACTCCAGGGAGAGATCACTGACATCTGCTCGCAGGCCTGAAGAGATTATTATCTTATAAAAGGCCTCAAAATCAAAGTTCCTGAGCCGGCGGCTAACAACAGACTTTCGCTCATTGAGCGGTTTCTGAAGATTCAGCTGAAAGCAATTAGCTTTGTGGTCAGAAATTAACTGCTCCATTACAACAAGTTCATTGACTTTCAAAGCCTCCGCGTCCATCCTAGAGATAACAAGGTCTGAAATATGACCACTCCTATGGGTGGGAACAGTCACATGTTGTTTCAGGTTAAACAAGTCCAATAAACTGCCAAACTGTGCCGCATATCTGTCAGCCGTATCGTCCATGTGGAAGTTATAGTCGCCAATGATGAGCAGCTCTTCTGAGAAAACAACAACTTCTTCCAGAAAACTACTGAGTTTTGAAGTCGCGTTGATGTCAGTGCCTTCGTGGATATGAATAAATACTGAGACTAATTAGACGAAGCGAGTGTGGCTCACGCAATTTTTTTTTTTACCGTTATAGTCCAGTATCAAAGCAACACTTTGAAAAAAACAATATTTTAGCTTACCTGTATCATTTAAGTAACACAATGACTACAAATGACTATAAATGAGCCAAAATTGTCATTTATATATCTCCAATCTATCGCGTGACGTCTTGTTATTTGTGACCCTAAATTTTAGGTCAGATTGCGATTTTATGGAAATTCAGTCGGCGCTCGCTCGAAAACTTTACAAGATCCCAGAAAAAAAAAACCGGTAACTTTTAAGGACTGTATTTTAGTAATTAATAGTAGTAATACCAACGATTTTCAGGCACTACAACATGCCTTTCCATCGCGATGATTTAACCCTACTTTTGCATGTCCTTGAAGGGCTGCCAAATGTTCCTTCAAATTTCGAGTTTATTTCTTAAAAAAATAAGCTGAGACGAAAACTTTCCATATATTTTAATAAAACAAGGCTCCTACTGAATAGTTATAGCAAAAGAAGACTGGCTGCTATGTTTTAGACCGAACACGATTATTTTGAACATAGTGAAATTTTGAGCTGGCGCATAGCCAAATACGGCAAAATTATTGTTAACGGTTTATTTCAAAACAAAAGCGTATTTCAAAACACTAGTTCCATTTTACTGAAGTACCTTAGCCTTTCCCTGGACAAAAAATGAGCCGAATCGATTTTTTGACTGTGGCCAAGAATTTTCGATTTTTGTTTGATTTTTACTGACATTCACTCATAAGACCTTTACGAACTTACTTTTATCTGAAAATATTTCAAAATTCTATTAGGTTTGATTAGTGAAAGGCCAAGACAAACCCCAAAACACAACAGTTAATATTAATTTATGCAAAAAGTAATATTTACAATAACTCTTGGACTAACGTTCTATTTAATAATCGCCAACCGTCAAAAGTTATAAATTTAACCGTCAACCGTCAAAACTGGGAAAAATTAACCGTCAACCGTCATAGCTACTACCCATTGAGACCCTCATGATACTTGGGCAACGGTGTTTTAACCCAAATGTAACAAGCCTGGGGCTGCAATAGAGCAAACATTGCCAATTTGTCAACTGCGCCACCCATTCCTCGACTTTACCGTTGAGGTACTGCTTATGTGCCGCACCCAGCTGCTTCCGTCGTTGCGGGAGAATGTTGATTGCTGTTTCTTCAAAGATGCTTTTAGCGGTCTCTTCCTTATCAGGCTTTATGACAAGCCAACATTTTCCAGCATTAGAATAGTATCTTAAGTCCGGTCCAGCCACTATCAACTCGTCCCACCACACCCTGATGTCCTGTAGCGATCCACAGCCTCTCACATCATCTGAAAACCAGCATTGACGGCTTGTTTCACTGCTTGTAAGCGAGAGATAAGTGGCTGTAAACTGAGGGGATATATGCACTTTACTAGGGGATCGCCTTGCGTAGTGCCCTCAGCAGAAAGAAGCTCTTTACCCCCCGTTACAATGAAAAGTCGTGCTGGTGCTCAGTAGGTATTGATTGCCGGACAAAGAACCCTGATGTTATGAAGGGTTTTGCTCGATTTAGTGAGTTGCAGGCGTTTGACGCATCCACTATCAACACTACATTGGTCTCCTCGTGCTAGAATAAGCTGTGCATTAATTGCGTGCACTGCTTCCTTACTCCGGGATTTGTGACCTGGGCAAAGCTGAAGCGAGCCACTCGACTCTAGTGTATCTTGTTTTGTCACCTTTGTTACGCACTTTCCAATAATTCTTCTGATTACTTCCCCCAGTGCTATTGGCTGGACTTCACCGTTACCCTTATCCATCGGGATTACACGGCGACTAGAATTGGCTCTAAAGTCGTGAGATCAATGTACTCCGAACGGTCAGCGTTACAAGGGCGTCGCACAAACTTGAGTCAGATTTCTTGAAAGACTTGTTAGCAAGGATCCTTTGAAAGCCATTACCGTCCACATTCGAGGGACCTCCAGAGCCTTTAGTTCTTATTGCTGCTTCTCTAATCATCTCACCAGTTATTTCATTATAAGCTGACTTGTACACCTCCTCAACTGGACCAAATAGCATCGATCCCAGTGATACTCTCTTCCTACCATTTCCGTTGTGGGTTTTTTGATGATGTCATTTCCATGGCCCGTCTCTTCTCTGTTCATTTGCTCAGTTCATTTTAGCTACAAACTTGGAGAAAAATGTCGAGAAAAATGCACCTCGTATGTCTAATTTTAGAATACTTCCCTCTAAAGCCCGGCTCACTCAAAAAACATTGACCAGGGAGAGGTGGGGGTAGGGGTCATCATGATGCCAAATTGGGTCTCCTGCGAGGAAGAAACTGCAAAATTCTTAACACTTTTTTGTCTAAGATTGTAGACATCTTGAGAGCGTTTACTGCGGCAGTGCTTCTGGTCTGTTGTTCACTCCCTTTATCACATTCACGTAATGACAATAATAACAATAATAATAATAATTATTATTATCATTATAATTCTTATAAAATCCTAAGAAGATACCAGTTAGGCGGAGAGGGGAAGTCAACCATTCAGTTACTGTTTACGGATGACTTGAAGCTGTACTCGGGAAAGATAAACGTGGTCTTGATTCACAGTTTTTCAGAGGCCATACCGATATTTTTCAATCGCCTCAAAAGTGTTTTTCCTTGTCTGATCGCTACAAAATTTTCACCAGTAATTGGCTATGGATTGAAATTTGTGAAAATGTAGTTTTAAGTAAAGTCGATATTACTATGACAACAATACAAAAAAAACTTTAAAATTGATAAAAGCCGAATTTTTTCTGATCTAGACCAGCTACTGAAAATCCAACAATAGAAACTTAAAGTTTGGTGTTTGGCAAACAATCTCCGCAAGACGTAAAAAATTCTGTATGTTTGAATTCGACTAAAACGAAAATATGTTTCAAACCGTAAATTTTCAATAGCCGTGATAGATTATTTAATAAAACCGTTACAAATGACTCAAATTATTCTTAAGTGTGGTCGAATGCTGCTTAATATCATATTATGATGCTAGGAAATTTTGGTGTATTTTCGTTCTTGCGATCTTGAAAACTAACCCGTTTTCTCAGCACCTGTCTAAGCGCAACTTCATTTAAAATTTGGACTTTTAGCGCTTTTTTGTATATCTCTGAAACGACTCGAACGAATTGTTTAAAAATCTCTTCACATAATCTTCATAATGTATATAATAATGTCTGAAACTTTCATTGAGATTGATTTTGTGGCTGCTAGCCAGCCCAGGACCGCGCGGTAGTGTAATTTTCGCGCCCTTTTGGGGTCAGGTGACCAAGCCGTTATTTCTAAGTTTCATGATCGTTAGCTCGGCGGTCAGAGATTACTTCGCTCGCTAGTTCAGCGATGAATTTTGGTTTTTCTGGACAAATTTATAATAGGCTCACAAGGTATTAATCTTTCTTTCGTTTCCTCTTTTATTTGGTTTATTATTTCGCCTGTTGTAATTTTCTAGCTAAGTTTGTATTCGTATTTGTTTACTTAGTACATTTCTCGTCGCATGTAATTAATATCTTTCAATTGTATTTTCCTTTCTAGTTTTACGTCAACCTTATCTACTTGTCAGTAAAACAACAGCCGTTTTTCAGTGTTAGAATTCACCGCGTTTGAGTTGTTGTCTCAATGTGGTCACAGATTTATTGCAACATCTTAAAATTTCAAGACAAACGTATCCTACGAACCTGTCAAAAATCTGCGTTACAACATTCACTGTTTTGAGGTTATGCTAATTATTCCAAGATAATACGCACTATACATACCTCCATGACTAAGACATTTTAGTTTGAATTTATCGCATCTTTTGAATGTAAAACATTGGCAATACTCACACTGAAATGTATGATATATGATATATGTATTGTCCGCATTAATTTGGAAAAACTAGCATAACGTCAAAACAGTGAATGTTGTAGCGCGGATTTTTGACGGGTTCGTAGGATAGGTTTGTCTTGAAATTTCAAGCTGTTGCAGTGAATCAATCTTAATGAAAGTTTCAGATCTCATTATATACATTAGGAAGATTATGTGAAAAGATTTTTAAAAAATTCGTTCGAGTCGTTTCAGAGATATACAAAAAAAAACGCTTTAAGTCTAAATTTTGAATGAAGTTGCGCTTAGACAGGTGCTGAGAAAACGGGTTAGATTTTAAGATCGCAAGAACGAAAATACACCAACATTTCCGAGCGACGAAATATGATATTAAGCGGCATTCTGACGCTACTTAAGAATAATTTGAGTCATTTATAACGTTTTTATTAAATCATCTATCACGGCTATTGAAGATTTAAGGTTTGAAATATATTTTCGTTTTAATTGAATTAAAACACACAGAATTTTTTATTTCTTACGAAGGTTATTTGCTAGACACCAAACTTTAAGTTCCTAGTGTTGGATTTTCAGTAGCTGGTCTAGATCGTGCAAACATTAGGCGTTTATCAATTTCAAAGTTTTTTGTTTATTGTTGTCATAGTAAGATCCATTTTACTAAAACCCTCATTTTGACAAATTTCAACCTATAGTCAATCACTGGTGAAAATTTTATAGCCATCAGAGAAGGATAAAATCACTTTTAAAGCGATTGAAAAATATCGGTATGGCCTCTGAAGAACTACATCGAAACACCTTAATTTAAAACGCTGGACTACCTGCAAGAGTTATTAATTGCATCTGAGCCGCAAGGAGTGTATTTGATAAATCGTTATTGACACAGTGATTGTATTTTTAGAATTTTATACAATTTTTAATGTGGTATAGTGCTTAATCCTTACTTCAAATATTTTTGTAAATTATGTACGTATTTTTAAAGTTGAATAAAATTGTTGTTTATTACTTAAAAAAGAAGATACTGCATTAATAAACTGTACATAAATTAGGTAATCAGTTTTGTTAGGGTTATAAGAGCGACGGTCAGAAAATATCGACCATCGAGTGGCAAGAGTTTTGTCCATAAATAACTTTTAGGTAGATAAGTAATCTGATGTAAGTTGTTCTCGCAAAAAGCCTCTTATTTTCGAGAAAAGTAAGTATATCAGTTTTCGTGGTCGGAGTGTCAAAATGGCTGTATTTTCAACCCAAAATTTGCTAACATCAACTCTCCTCGCGTTCGCAAATAAAGCCGCAAGGAGAAATTTGGACACTTTTCATCAATAGAGCAACTCTTCTTCTTCCACTAGAAGATACTTTCAAAGCAATATCAAGACTCGTTGAACTAACATAATTCAGAAACGAAGAACAGGTTTTTACGGTGACAAAAACTTTAATCAAGGAGTTGTTTTCTGCGGCATTTTTCTTCTTGTTGTATAGCTCCAAATTTTCCCGGTCCTCGTTTATTCACACATTTAGACATTCATCTAAAACATATCTGAGAATTGGCTTGGGTTCCTTTAGGCAGCCTCCAAACGAAAGCATCAAAGTCCGGTAAAAATAGTGAAGCGTGACCAAAATAACTTATTTAACGACTCCAAGTTTCCTCGATCGTAAAGTAAGAAGACGAAATATCTTCCTGTTCCGTAATCCTTAGCGAATTACCATTGTTAAAGTCCATATTTTTCGATAAAAAGTGAGTACCAGATAAAGCACGTTTGACTTTTTCCTCTTCAAAATACTGTCGGGATCGAAAATGTTACTCTTTCAAGAATTGCGTTGCGTTACTACCGTGATTCCGTGACCGTCATTTTAACGGCTTCGTCTCTTCAAACGTACGTTATGTCACGTGCAGTCACGGAACAGATTGTCACGCAGAGTCGCCGTCTAGTAGGGTTCAGCGTTTCAAAATGGCTAAAATTGACCCAGTTTCACCTTTTTACCCCACTCTTTGACTGGAAAAAGAAATTTTGCAATTGGAAAACCAACAAGAAGTACAAAAAAACGAGCCTTTAGGCTGTTAGTCTACTTTTGAGCGTTTCGAAAGTGGAAGTGTTTACACAATTACCGCCGGCCTACCATGAAAATTCCTGAACTTCGATGGTGTCTTACGGAGATTACATTCAATAACCCAAGCCAATTCCCAGGTATGTTTTAAATGAATGTCTAAATGTGTGATTTAATAAGCATTAAGAGAATTTGGGGTTATACCACATGTTAAATATTGCCGTCGAAAATGAGTAGCGAACTTAAGTTTTTGTTAACCTGAAAACTTATCCCTCATTTTTGAATTATTTAAGTACGACGAGCTTCGCTATTGCCCTGAAAGTATCTTTTAGTGGAAGAAAAAGAATTTTTCTGTTCATGGAAAGAGTCCAAATTTGTCCACGCGGCTTCGTTTGCGAACGCGAGGAAAGTTAATGTTAGCGAATTTCAGGTTAAAAATTAGGGCAGTCTGTAGCCTGAATTTCATCTGATTTAATACTTCGAGTTGTTATTACTCCCTCAGTAGGCACCTTAAGCAACAGACGTCGCCGGCCTCACGACGGCAACTGGAAACGTGACATTTCTTTGGAGATGTCACTGCGCATGTACAACACGTTGTGACATGAAGTTGTCCTGAAGTCGAGAACGTGAGAACGTGGGGTTTCACGTCGCGACGAAAACGTGATTACTTAATCTTTTGTTTTGATCCCTTTTAGCTTACTTTTGTGCTATTTTGATGCCGAACTATGCACAATGATTGCCTTTATGCTTAAAACAATGTTTTGTAAGTATTCTTGGACTCATTTTTTTTTTACTGAAAAATTGTTCTTCGCATGTCAAACTAGCCTTCAGCGAACAGGTTGCTTTCATTCAACGTAATGGCGCGTGG